GAAGGACGCTATCAAGTGCCTCGTACCACAACAGCAGACTCTCTTTGAGCCCGTACAAACTCTTGAGGAGTTTGCACACCCGATTCGTGCCATCATTGTAGTGCCCTGGCTGCTCCATAAACAACACACGGTCCAGCTTACTTTGCATGTCAAACTGCACGATGTTCAGGTCAAGTGCAGCCGCAACAGACGGAAAAATTTGCAAGGTGACGTAGCTGCTGACAGGCGAGTAGGTTAAGTCGTAGTCGGCACCATAGACTTGCATGAACCCTTTCACCACTAGTCGCGCTTTCTCGCAAGCCACCGTGTCGTCCGCTTTGTATTTGGTCGTCAAAACCCAACGGTTCTTCAGGATGGTGACTCCGCGTGGCGTCGGCACCAGCTCCCACGTTCCGTTTTTGAGGAGGGTACGAATTTCTTCATCCATCGCTGCTTTCATTGCTGCACCCTTCCAGCCCCCCAAAGCTTCCTTGACAGTCATTGTCGAGATGTCCCACCGACGTTCCGGATCCGCGACCATGTCGGGATCTAGTTCAGGGAGTTTTGGATCCGCGTGAGCGTCATCAAGAAGGGTGTTGGCAAACGCGGGGCAGACTTTGCGGTAGTGAAGTGGGAGCACACCTTGCGTAGTGCGTCCAAAGCAACGGAGAGGGGGATTTTCGACTGGAACGATTTTCGGGACCGTCTCAGCATCACTCGTTTTCGTGCCTCCGAGCAGCTCCCCTGTCTCCGTGCCACTCGTTTTCGTGCCTCCGAGCAGCTCCCCTGTCTCCGTGTCACTCGTTTTTGTGGAGCCCGTTTCGTGCGCGGTTAACGGATCGTCCGATCGACCGTCGGTGGCGCGAACAGAAGGCACTTCGCATGGTGCCTCGTTTCTCCTCTCGTCACCAGCGGTCGAGGCGGGCGACTGAGAAAATGGATAGGAGGTTGATTGCCACCCCACCTCCAAAGGAGAGGAGGGGACGAGAAACGGAGGTGGAGGTGGAGGTGTGGAAACCGCGGGTACCTCCTGCGGATAAACGGACGAGACCGCGGTGTTCGGGACGGATGTTGGGACATGAGGCGGAACTGCTGCGGGAGGAGGATTGAGGTCCTCGTCAATCTCGGGGGCCAACAAATCCAGCGTGGGGACGGGTGGAAACACAGGCGCATGTCCACTGGGACGAGGCTCCGCCGTTTTCGTGGCCTTCCAACCATCCAGCAAGAGATTTTCGTGGAAGACTGCCTCCACGGTCGTGATGACTCGATTTGCCACAAGATCGAGCACTTCCCAGCCTTTTCTCGCGGGCAAAACTCCAAGGTGAACTCCCCACTGAGCCTTCGGTTCCAGTTTGCCACCGCGCTGATGCTCTGGCACCATAAACTGCACCATGCAGCCCCAAACACGAGCAAGCGTCAGATCGGGCTTGTCCGCGAAAACGAGTTCGTGCGGTGTGGTTCCCAGAGGGAGAGAAGCGTATTCGAGGCAGTTGCGAATCCAAACAGCCTGCCGCAGTGCCAAGTGCCACCAGTGATGCTCCACGCCCATGTGCAGAAGCATCGTGCGGACCGATTCCACAACCGTGCGCATCTCGCGTTCTGCCATCCCATTCTGTTGTGGGGTGTAGGGGCATGTGAGATCGTGAATGATGCCGCAGTTGTCCATGAATTTGGTGAATTCATGGCCCATGAGCTCCCCTCCACGATCCGAACGGAGCGTTTTCACCCTCGCGCTGCACTAGCGTTCCACCATCACTTCAGCGGGTCACTCTTCTTTTCGAGCGGGTACATCCACACGAAGCGTGTCTTCTGATCTTTCAGAAAAAGAAAGTACCTGCTTCCATCCTTGGCCACGGCACGAAATGGCCCGCAAACGTCCACGTGAACAACGTCCAAGACGTTCGCTGCTTCCTTGCCTTCCTCAGAGAACGTGTGGCGAACGAGTTTGCCTCCAACGCAGGAGACGCGCGGTATGTCTGCTCCGCTTGATGGAATGATTTCCAAGCCCGTTGCTGCTCCGTGCACGGCCGTTTTCTTGATCATGTCGATCCCCACGTGAGCCAAACGAGCGTGCCATTTGTCCACGAAATCGCGGATAGACGTAACGATCGCTTGTAGCGCCACAGTTTCCGCTGGGTCCGAATTTTGTGGCGCGAACGGACGAAGGTTGGTGCAGAGTACCCGTCCCGTGTAGCGCGCCCGCGCGAAAACGGTGCCGTTCGTGGAGAGGAGCACAGTCTCATCATCCGCTTCCTCCATCTTCACTCCGCTGTCTTCAGCTGACCAGTTGAGAGGAGGTTCGTCTGGACCCCAGGGACGCAAAGCACGTCCGAAACCAAGATGTGCTTTCCTCCCTCTCCTTCGAGAGCAACGGTCCCGCGGCCACAAACAAGTTGAACAGCTCCATTGAATCGGTGCACGTGGCTCACGTCGCCTCCGTCCTGCATGCCCACGAATGCATTTCGGCCCCCCATCAAGTGATGCGAGCAGCCACTGTCCAGCAGCACAACTGATGGATTTGCTTGCACAGCTGCAGCAACCACTTGAAAATCTTCACCCGCCTTAGGCGCCAGCAAAATTGGGGTTTCTGTTGATGGTGAAGCACATGCGATAGTCCCCACCATCGGACACGAAGCTTGGCCCGTGCCATTCGTATTCGTTGTCGTCGTCGCGTTTGCACTCGCGTTCATGTTGCCACCACCAGCAGAATTCGCGCGCTGTTGTCCACGGGCATTGTTCGCGGGTTGATAATTCGGGGAGTCGTTGTACTTGTTTTCGCACCGAGATTGTCCGGCATTCGCCCGCTCGCATGGGCCCTTGTGCTCATCACCCGAATCACCATTGACACGATCCGGACACTGGTAGGAGAGATGATCCGGGTCACCGCATACAAAGCAGTAGCGCTTGCATTGGCCACGGCCGCGATCATCCTTCTTGCTCGGCTTCCCGTGGTTGTCCTCGTTTTTGCTTCCCTTTCCACCTCCACGAAATTTGCCTTGCTGCTGCTGGTGCTTCTGTTGTCCGTGCTGCTGCTGCTTCCCCTGCTGCTGCTGACCCCCCTTTTGCAATGGTGCCATGAAATTCGCGTACGGAAGCAACTGCTCCTTGCGTTTCTCGGATTCGAGCGTGAACTCCTCCTCGATGATGTAGCTGGAGAGCGAGGCGTGATGTACGAGGACATCGCGTACTCCACGCCCGCCATTCGCAGGTCCGCAAGAATCTGTTGAGCACGGTTGCATTAGCTTGTGGCGCTTTCGTGCTCCCCCATTTTGAGGTTCGTCAAGCGCTGCTCCAGTTGCCAGAGGTACAAGTCGTGCGTGGCCTTGTACGTCTTCATGATGAAATGCCACGCTTGAGCTTCCGCGTCCTCGCATACGGCACGACTTCAGGGTGACTTGAACAACTAGAGAGCAGCACCGCGAAATCACCATGAACGTCAGCAGTTGTGCGGAGTGGAACTGAGAGATGCGCTCGTAGTCGTCGTCTTGTGGAAGTACCACGGAGCCATCCACAAATTTCTTCAGTTGCGCGATTTCGAGCTGCGGGTCAATCGATTCCATCCACGTTGTCAGGTCGTGGTGTCCTTCAAGCGGTTTTGGGACTATGATTTTGTCAGGTGAGAACTTGAAATAGCCATATGTCCCGAGAGGTGGAAGGCTGAGACGCCCTCACGCGTCCATCCATACTTCGGCGAGCAGAGATTCGTGACCTATCCGCACCACCGCGTGCACTTCCAGCAGCGGCCGCTCGCAGCACCTGCGCTTGCGTTCCTCCGACACTCATGGTGTTGGCCCGCACGGGCCCCCGTACAAGTCCACGTATTGCCCTTTCGCCTCCATGCCAAGATTCATGTCAGTGTCTTCATCACGAAGAGCGGCAGACCCGTTGTCCGCTTCAGCATGAGGAGGTGGATGATCACGCGCCCACCGTTCATGGAGTCCAAGAATCATGAGCTCCAAGTCCTCCGCGCTGATTCCAGTATCGCTGAATCGCTCCCGCATAGCAGCCTCCTGGGCCTCCAGGGTATCCATGGCTTCTGAAGCGACGCTGTCGTCAGACATACAGAGCCTTTCGTGGCTACCACTGGCCTGAAAACTTTGTGGTCTACTCGGCTATCTGAAGGTTCCGCGTGTCGTTTCACGCTCACCGCACCATGCGGAGAGTTCTAGTTTTCGGGATGGCGGGGCATGAAAACGTGGGAAAGGGAACCTTGTCACGAAATGTGCACTAGGAGTTGAGGCACGAAATTGTGTTGGCTTGCCTTGTACAAATTCTCTAAGTGTTGAGAGAAAGCTTGAGCATAGCTTCAGTATAGAAAAATGAACAATAGAGTACAATGGGAAGGACCAGAACCATATAGGAACGAAGCGACAATAGTCACGAACGTTCACACAAAACGTTCTGACAACTACTCTAGCATGTGCGTTGTCAAGTCAGCAACGGCAGGCGAAATAAACATGCCAGGTAAATTTCTACCTAACTAGGAGTAGTTGTTCATGTTTCTGCAACATTTGCAGCTACACATGCTTCACTTGTAGAATAGGGTGGGAGTACTACGTGATGTATCTTGAGGCTTGCTCGTAGATGGTGAGTTTGTTGGCATGATGGGCTTGGCCATGGCCCAACATGAGGTGGTTGACAGGCGGGTTTAGGGCGCAGGGTGTCGCACATGCGATATCCCCGAATCTGGTGTTGTCATCATGCCATATGGGCGCACTGCGGCGCAAATTTCTACTTGTGTCCATCTCATCATGTAACACCAAATTTCTACTTGTGTCCATCGTAACGACCCATCATGGCAACCACACTACAACAAATGTGTATAAAAAACCTTTGAATGGCAACCTGCTTAGCCAAGGCTACAGTACTCTATTCGTCGTATCATAATCACTTCTCGTCACAAATGGCATCACACAGCGCTGCACAACAATATTATGCTAGCCATCAGATAGTTGCACAGCACCCTATCTCGCCTCTTGTGACAGGAGGTGATGATAACACACGGTTGGAAGGAAACTACTCTAGGGCACACAGATTGTACTCGAGCCTACAGTATCTGAGCATGTTCGCCCATTGTACTCGTAGAACTTCGCAACAGTTCCAGGTTTTCCTCCTGGTTTTCCTCCACCATAGAAGTTCAAAACACCTGGGCATGCCAGGTTTGGTGACACCAGCTTGAGCCTGCCCTTCTTGCAGCCGAGATCACTGAAAGAATCGTAGTCTGCCTTTAGGCAAACCTGAAATAGCAGGTGCAAACACAGTGCAGGGAGAAGTGAGAAATCTCAAGAAGGACGACACACTGCATAGAATACACACCTCTATGTATCCAATTCCCTCTAAATGCTCTGGTTCCCAAATCTCACCTGCACGCTCGTCTTGCTGGCAGCAGTGGCGGTGGAGGGAGGGGTGGTGCGGGGGCAGATGAGGCCGGGGTTGTTGCGGTAGAGCTCAGCCCAACTGGCTGCAGTCACCACCCCTGTCCCCGCGGACCCATCCTCACCAGTCTGCATGCTCTGCAGCATCAGGCTCTCACACGTATCTTGTGCTGTGAGCGTTCCATACTGCAAGCACTGAGGGACGGTATAGGCCATGGTGGCATCGCGCTCGAGGCACAGAGAGCGGCCTGCCTTAATGGGCTCCGAGCAGTTCAGGCTGGGATTGAGAGCGGCAAGGTAAGCCACAGAGAGTTTTAGCTGGGTGGAGATAGACGAACAGTTGTCACCCTGGTGGGTTGAGTGAAGGGAGGGAAGGTAAGTGATGGCTTGTTGAAGATATTCACAGATGAAGATTAGCTGGACTCGAGATGCATCATTTACATGACAGAATCTTGCACGGGCGCTTAACTAAGCTACTGGTTGCGTGAGACATATTCCTAAGTAACGAAGGGAAGTAGGAAGGGAGCAGGAAGACTGGAGATTGGTGCTGACATAAGGAACATAAGGCTGATAGATTAAAACGAGCATTAGTAAGTCACCACCCAGTTCTCTGGAATCTTGGGCTCACCTCGAGGGTATAGATGAAGGCAGTGCAGGGCTTGGGGGAGTTGCTGCCCAGCTGAATCACCTTTCCCGGAGGCAAAGGCTGGCTGCAGTCAATTGGCTGCAATCAGAAGCACATGCATAGCACCATGGGAGTCGGCCTGAGCAACGAGGCAATGCCTGACTGCACGTCATGATACTGGTGCCGTCACCCAACTGCAAGAAAAACTTCAGTTTGTTTGACTCCACACCCCACTGGACCCCACACCCCACTGGACTCCACACCCCACTGGACCCCACACCCCTCTGGACCCCACACCCCACTGGACCCCACACCCCTCTGGACTCCACACCCCACAAACCCATCCGTACTCTCATAAGTGTTGCCTCCACTCACATGATCTTCTGTGCAACAGCTTCAGCTTCTTACCGAGTTTTGCAGCGAGTCAGATAATAATACGAGGCCAGCAGCAGATGCAAGGCCAGCAGCAGGGAAAACATCAGAGCACAGCCAGTTGGAGCCTGTGATAGTCAAAGTCGAGGCTGTGGTGTTGGCTGCGGGCAGGAGAGAAGGAGAGGAAGTGCAGAAGGAACACAGATTAGGCTATTGCATTGTCATACCTCACAGTGGCCAAGGTCTGCCTGAAGAAACAAGGTGTGGGCGAGGTAAAGATGAAGATGCCTTGTGAGTTTGAACTGTACAAACTGTGTCAAACTGTACAAAAGAGATCCTTATAATAGCAAAGTAGCAGCACCTGGGTCGCAGGTGGGGAAGTTGTCGATGGTTGTGCTGCTGATGTAGTTGGGAGGGCAGATGCAGGAGTAGGCGCCCTTGCCATCGTTGATGCACGTGCCCGCGCCGCAAGGGTTTGTAGGGTAAGAACCGCAGACGTCAACTGTTGGGTGGATATAGGGGAGGACATGGACATGGGTGGGTGGTAGAACGTGGATGATAAAGGGAAACATAGATGTTATGTCCTTGATAGATAGGGTGAACTACCACAACACTTCCCTCAATGCACCTGCATCTTAGGGCGACGTCAGGTTATACATTTCACACGCGCTTACAGTTCCTGTATCGTGGTTCAGGACGGTTCAACATGGTGAAAAGCGGTTCTCGAATATTACCGCTCTTCACCGTGTTGAAACGAAATTTACCGGAGAGGGCGTACAGAAAGTTGTGCAATTTGACGTCGCCCTCACAGGCCCTCTGTTCATATTGCCGAGAGTAGCAAGAGAAGAGCAGCCACGTTTCTTCAGATATGGGTCCTCAATTCACTTTTGGGCGTAAGAAAAAAGGCTCACTCACCATATGCACATGTGCTGGAGCCCAATCCATTAGCCACCTCAACGAACGGCTGATTGGCCTTGCCAGGAATGGTGCAGTTGCAGGTGTTGCCCTCAGTCTTTGCGTTTGGCTGGCATGAGAAGCGACCGCACGGGTTCATGCTTGGCTGTAGGTCCCCATCGCCCTTGAAGCTCTTTTCGCCGCAAGAATCATTGGCAACTGGAGGGGTGGTGGAGAGAGGGTAGCGGATGTAGTGTAAGCAGTGGGATGGGAGCATGGAATGGAAGAGAGCTCTTCCACGAAGTGATCGCCAATGAAAACATACAGTGATTGCCAATGAAAGCATACAGTGATAGCCAATGAAAATATACAGCGATTGCCAATGAAAACATACAGTGATTGCCAATGAAAACATACAGCGATAGCCAATGAAAATATACAGTGATAGCCAATGAAAATATACAGTGATTGCCAATGAAAACATACAGTGATTGCCAATGAAAATATACAGTGATAGCCAATGAAAATATACAGTGATTGCCAATGAAAACATACAGTGATTGCCAATGAAAACATACAGTGATAGCCAATGAAAATATACAGTGATTGCCAATGAAATCATACAGTGATTGCCAACGAAAACAGAGTGATTGCCAATGAAAACATACAGTGATCGCCAATGAAAACACACAAGTATTGGTACACATACTATTTCACTCCAGTATCCGCAGGAAGGCAGATGCTGATGCTCTCACTCTTGACAATGGTTTAAATGCCTCACTGACGATAAGGTAGATGCCTCACTCTTGACAATGGGGTAGATGCCAGACAGCACGTTGATGCCACACACGCCATCCCCTCCCTGAATGTCCATGCGCATGTGCCCCTTGTCGCCCCAAGCGGCTCCCCATGAGTTGCGGATGATCCAAAATGGCGGAGGAGTCGAACTTTGTTGGCTTGTTGAAATGAGGTACCCAACAACGAGTACAGCATGGTTCAGGTTGCCAGTGTAGCAGGCAGGATCCTGGTACTTGAAGCTCTGAGAGAGAGAAAAAAAAGATAGATGGACAATCACAGGGAAGGTAGATATAGAGACATGAGGCATGCCTGTGCGAGTACCAGCTCGATGTGTGGCGACAAGTGCAGCGGTAAATGACTAAGTGCATATGTTCACACCACACCGTCACATGAAAAATTGGTCACAAGTACGTACCCCGTCATATTGTGTGAACGTGGAAACAGAAGCCTCAATCTGAACCACCACTGGCTGGCGTTTGACTGCTAGCATGAGCCCCACATACCCCTTGAACCGCGTCCGCTCAAACGCTTGGACGGGGTACCTTAATATCTGCAGGTCACGAGCATATGGGAATCATTAGGAGATGAATATATGAAACAACCACAGCCAGTCAGGAGTGGGCTGGAGAAGAGGGCAAGGCGGGAAGAGCTAGAGAGAAAAGGGTGAGCTGCAAGACATGATTATTTCTGCCCGTCATGAGAAACTTGGATGCAGCTCGAAGACCAATCTGGGAAGATTTAATACAATAGCCTATTGGACTGAATGGGTGGACCATTGTGTCTCCTTACATCTGTTGACATGTTAGAAAACTACTCATGTACTATGCTGACCTGCCGAATTGCATTGGTATGTGAAAGTACGCCTTGTGAGATTGCAATACCACGATGGTGGCTTCCCTGCTAGGTTGCGTTGCACTGGTTGCATTGCTAGGTTGAAATACAAAGATGGATGTCATTCCTACCGTTGTGGTGCTGGTGAGTCCTCCACGGGGCAAAGTGGTGAGCTTTTTAAAGGCCGCTGCAGGAGAGTTCCCTGTGCTGCACTTGGCAGCAGGGGTCTTGAGCCCCATGATTATAAAGAGCGAGTCCACTGACAGCCGTGGAACCTTTTGGTTCTGCGCAATGCCGTATGCTGCTTCGACACTCGCCACCACCGCATACGCCCAGCTTGCATCTGAAAGGGACCATGTCAGAAGGAGGTGTGCCACGAAGGTTGAAGAGACCCAAGCAAGCCCTTATCATAAGGTGCACGGAATAATAAGGCGCTTACCATAAGGTGCATAAAGTGCTTCGAATCAAGCAACAGCGCCCCAAGTCACAAACGCACAAGCTGGTCCATCCATCCACCCGCAGAGTCTTCTTGATCCAGGCACAAAAGCACAAAGCACGAGTATTCAAGACCACAAAGCACGAGCAGCACAGCCAATGAGCATGCCACATATTCCATGCCCACTTCTGTTTCCCCAGGCCCACTCACTGCAGTCCTTCTGGTTCTTGACAGGCCAGGCAAGGAAGGGCATGGAGTCCCAGGAGTGGGAGCTGCTGACGCGCCATCCACTGGGCTGGCTGGGCGACACTTGGTAGTCCTTACTCATGTAGCGCATGAAGGGGCTCGCTCCTGGTGGCGCATATGATGCTGGCGAGAGAGTCAGGCCTAAGGCTGGGCAGGCAAACGTGGGTGTGGACAGAGGGCGGAGTTGAATGAGGGATGTGGGCGTGCGCGAAGGTCTGGGTGTGCTGTTCTTTGCATCAGATATCAATTTGAAAGAAAAATAGGGAGCAGGAGTATAGTGTACGCTTGCTTTGAAGGAGGGAGAGTGATATAAAGGCAGCAAAGAGAATTATAACTAATAATATATCATGCAGAGGTAAATTGGGTTGTTTACCTGGGTTGTCCAGTGCCTTCTGTGGATCAGGGAGACCTGTACAAAGGGGCATACATGCGGGATACATAGATAGGGACATGGCAGCCAGATGGTGATCAGATTTAACTCTACTGAAAGAAAAGTTCAGCACACTCAAGTGCACCCTCCCATTTATGGAAATGAATGTGACACTGTTCACTAACCAGCTGTACAAGCAACCAAAGACAGAGGCTGAGATTCATGAGAAAATAGCAGGAGCAATGCATGACCATAGTAATCATTGCCACCATCACTATCACCATCAACACCATCACCACCAACACGCCACGGCTGCCGCCGCTGCCGCCGTTGTCATCGTCTTACAACAGCAAGAGCAGCACCATGCTTTCCTCACCTGTTTGCACCGCCGATTTAAGGATCAGATGCATCTGGAATGGCTTCTCAGTGGTGGACGCCACAAAGCCAAAGAAGAACGCCTGCTGCTCTGCTCCAGCCTGCAGCACCTCACACAGCGACAGGCTCCTCTTTAACAGCGGCTGCTCTGGCTTCACAATTGATGCAGATAGGAACACCTGGATGGTGCCGAGTTCTCCAGGCACATAGTCAACCCATGCCGTGTATGCCTTCTTGCTGTTCAGAGGAAACGGCGACTTCACAGCAGCTACCGAAGTCTCCTGGCCTTTAGTGTCCAACCCCACGTGCTGAGTGATCATATCCGCAAGCTGCTTGTCCTGGAAAGTATCGAATTCAATTGCTATGCTCCGCTCGTCCATTCCATCGTACCCCACACCAGCCCCGGTCCCCACCCGGTCCGTTGCCGAGATAACAAAGGCAAGGCCATTGTTGCCGCCGCGGAAAGTTCCAGTCGACATGGAGAAGGTGAAATTGGCATGGAAGGCCAACTGCGTTCCACACCCTGTCGCTGCCTTCCCTGCCTCGTACACAAACAGAGGTACTGGTGCTGCAGTGAAAGCCCCCTTGATTTCCTTGAGCGTTCCCTTTGTGAGAACAGTTGCTTGTGGAAGAATAGGTTGGGTGACTGTAGAGGTTCCGTCTTCGCCTGGAGTCATGCAGTAAGGGTGAGAAGGAGCATTAGAGGGAACATGATAATCTGTAATAGTACCAAACGATGTTGAAGTGAGGTTTTTGGGTGATGTGAAGAACCATAGCTGACAAGGATGGGATGGGATAGCAACGGTATAGTGCTGCGCAATGATTTTGAAACAGTACCGGAGAATTACTAACTTTCCCGGGTCAAGTATCTCCACTAAGATTTCATGTTCCCTTCATGGAGGGAGGTGGTGGTGGGGGGGGGGGGGGGGGGGGGGGGGGGGGACTTTTTCTTACCTTGTACAACACAGGTGTTGCTCACAGCAGACTTGACAAACCCCGCATCGCAAGAGCAGCTCGGGATCATACTGGCTCTGTTTGGAACGCAAATTCCTTTTCCCCCGCAAGCATCAGTAGTAGAAGCAGCAGCACCAGCAGCAGCAGCACTAGCACCAGCAGAGGACGAAGGTGCAGCAGAGGAGATGCCACAGAACGAATTGCATGCTTCTTCCTGCCGCGGCACCACCAAGGTGCACCCAGGAGGCACTGTGAAGCAGTTGGTATCAAAATTGCGGGCCTGGCATGCTGAGTCGGGCAGAGGGCCCGAGAGGAAGTTGTTGGAGAGGCGTAGGGTGTTGATGGTTGGCAGCTCCATTGGGCCTGCGAGGTAGTTGCGAGAGAGGTCCCTGGGAGAAGAGTGGGAGAGCAGGTGCGTGGAGAGGGAAAGGGGAAAGAGGGGTAAGGGGGAGGGAAAGAGAGCATGTTAGAAAGTTGGAAGGGGGGGAGGGGGTGTGTGGGGGGTAGAGGGTAATAGTTAGTGGAGCGATGGAAGAAGATTGGAGGCTTGGTGCTCAACCGGTTTCGGTATCTGATCACGTTAGCAAGGATCCCTAATTCACTATTATGCAATTATGCTACATGTACTGCAATTATGCAATACAAAGATTGATGCCGTCCAATGAAACCTTTAGAAGAGGTCCACGAGGAGCCCCTAGTAACCTTGACGCACCCAGCCCAACCGATGTAGCCCTACCTGTTAGATTCCGTCCAGTGTTCACAGAGGCTGACGATTGCGACGAGCTGGGATATGCAGAAAATAAATCACGTACTACAGGAATGTATAGGAGGCTGATAAGCCTAGGTGTGCGGAAGCATTGGAGAGGCTTGGGGTGCAAAGGGCAGTGCGGCTTACAGGAAGGTGAGCTGTGTGAGCTGTGTTGGCTGCGTTGGCTGTGTTGGCTGTGGTAACCGTGATAGCCGTGTTAAATAGCTGTATGAGCTGTGAAAAACCTTGGCGCCACAAAAAGGGCAGTGCTGCTTACAGGAAGGTGAGTTGTGTTAGCTTGGAGAAGCTGCTGGGGATGCGGCCATACAGCTGGTTGGACGACAGGGATCTGATGATGGCCACAGATGGATGGTGGTGGAAGGGGAAGCAAACAGAGCAGATAGCCATGCTGAAAATACTTGCATTTCACTAGAGGGGTGAGGTGAGCGTGAGCCGTCTCAGCACGGAGCTGGATGGCTGTTTACAATAAAAGAATGGCATCATGAGAAGCTTGTGACATTGCCTCCATGGGGCAGTTGTGAGTGGGCTCTTCAGGCGCCTCAAAAGTCGTCTCTCTACCCGCATCTGGAGCTTTAACATAGCGTGTGGAGTTTGTGAGTGGGAGGGAGGTGAGGTGAGGTATCATAGCTGTATGGTTGTGAACCAGCTTACAGATAAACCAGTTTGGAAAGCTCCCCAATGGAGTCAAGGATTGTTCCTTCCAGAAGGTTACGCTGGAGGTCCCTGCAGATTCCGTGAATGAAACGTGTGGGATAAATAAATATGGATGGACGAACGACTGGCAAGACAAGATGTGCTGTGCTGCAAAGGTGTGCTTCAGGAAGGGAGAAGCGAGTAATAGGCAGATAACGGGGGCTTACAATTCCCCCACAGCAGTAGACGTCACATCATAGCGGTTTTGGGAACTCTTCAAACTGAGCAGTACACAGCACAGCACAGCTGATGAAGCCAGGAGCAACGCCCTGGCATATAGGTTGGTTGGTCATCATTACATGATGGATAAGTTAGTGAGATTGCTGATGGAGTCAGGGATGCGCCCCCGGAGCTGGTTGCGAGACAATGTGCTGAGCCAAACAAAGAAAACGATGAGGAGACGGGAAAAAAGGGTGGGAAAAAAGGTGGTAAGATATTGTTTTCCTTTCTTCCTTGGTTGCAATGTCTTCGTGATGGCGAGTGAAGAATGGGGAGGGGAGGGGAGGGAGAATTCGTTGAGGAGAGGAGAGAAAGAGAGGAGACATGTGAAGCGCGAGACAAAGTAATAGTAAGCTGGGATCGGCACGTGGCAAACAGGACTGCCAGGTCTGAGAGGGTACTTATGTCGGATTAATTCGGGTTTAGGGTTCGTTGTGAAAGTGATTGTTGCGAGCAATTTTTCAAAATTCTCAAAGATCAGCATGTGACATACAGGACTGCCAGGTTTGGAAGGGAGCTGATTTTTGATGGAATCGGTCCTGTGAGGCGGTTGTTGTCAAGAGCCCTGAGGATAAGTGGGGATTGTAAGGTGCAATGTCCAGTGAGATATGTACGGTTAAGGGGGAACAGACAGACACATAATTGGTAAGTGATGTTTAAATGTCTCAGGACATTATGCGGAGCACAGAAAGCAGCACAAACCATCGTTCAATGGGACAAGAATGTATAATAGTAGACTCCGCACAAGCAGGGATCAAGTATTTCTTGCAGGGTTCATGGATGGTAGGGCCAAATAAGAAGCTAAGGGGGTTGATCCTTGGAAAACCAGTGGTGTTCGTCAGCAGCATCAGAATGCCTCCAATGTGAATACCCAGGAGGGATGTTACTTGTAAGTTGTATCTCGGAGAAATGAAGTGTATGGATAACAGAAAAGCACGCATATTCCCATGCAGGGGAGGCAGGCAGACAGCTTACAGGCTTGTGAGCGCTGTAAGCTCCGTTAGGAAGAAGGGCACCGACCCTGACAGCTTGTTGGAGTGGAGATAGCTGTAGAAAACAAGGGCAGGTGGAGTGGAACCGCAGGATGGCATGACATGAGTTCAATCAACACAGCGATCCATTACTCGTTGCAAGATCGCCGGTCCGGTTGGCAGCGACAGCAGCTGAGGTCTCCTGTTTCAGATGGAAAGCCCCGAGTTGAGTGAGTTGGGGTTGTTGCAGTGCGAGCACCAACGCTCAATAAACCATGGCTACAGGGCCCAAGACTTTGGCCCACAGCGAGCCCGGAACAGGTGAGATGAAAGACTCTGTCTTTGGTTACAAACACACTTCCAGGAGCACCAATCGTTGACTGGCGAGCTGCCCTTAGCTGGCTTTGTCAAATAGGCTAGGCTCGACTGGTATGAACATTGAGATTGTGTTGGCGGCTGGAAGCGGCATACAGACAGACTAAATCAGGCAGAGACGAATCTTATAAATGTGTTATATTTCCAGCCAACTCGTGTCTTATATAAATACACCCTTAGCACTGCATGTGAATGAAACTTACAGGGATTTCAATAGGTTGAGTCCTTCCACAGTCGCAGGGATGTTGCCCAAAAGCTTGTTGCCCGAAAGATCACTGGGAGAAAGGCGTGAAGGGTAGAGGAAGAACGGAAGGGAAGGAAGTGAGGCGAGCACAAGCGAATGATCCGCCAGCAATACCTGGTTTGGGTGTCGATGAACGAGGAAAGGGAAGGGATGGAAACGGTGGGGGAGGGATGAACGAGTAAAGCACTTACAGTCTGGTGAGGGCGGACATGTCCCCAATCTCATCGGGAATGGGACCAGACAGTTGATTGCCGCTCAAGTCGCTGGGGGAACAGCACAGAGGTGGGGTGGAGGGTAGACAGGGAAGGGAAGAATTGAGGAGGTCACGGTAGTGTATAGAAGGCTTTGGAATTGGGAAACAAGGCAGCTGTGACTTATCGTGGATGTGATTAAAGTGACGGTGGAAAGGCAAAAAGCAGCAGCAGCAGCAGCAGCAGCAGCAGTGGCAACGCCAGCAGCAACAGCAGCCACCGCAATGGCAGATTGACAGTGGCAGCGCGGCACCCACAGTGTATCCATATCGCTCAGCAAGGCAATAGAGGGAGGGATGGATCCCGAGAATGTGTTTGATTGAAGGCCCCTGCAGCAGCATGGGAGGGAAGCAAAGTAGAAGAACAGAGAAAAGTGTCACATATAAGGGGGGAATCAGTGTCAGATAGGTGAATCAGACTGGACGGGGGGTGTCAAAACATGTGCTTATTGAAGAAACAGTGTGTAGCTTACATATTTGTAAGGCCGGTGAGGGAGGTGAGGAACTCAGGGATGGGTCCCGAAAGATTGTTGTGACCGAGGGACCTGGTGGTTGTGGATTTGATTTGAACGGGCATTGAGAAGCACAGTCAATGGTGAGTAGTAACTAGGGATGAGCAAGGTGGCGAACACCTGTTCGGTTCGCCTCGAACACGTTCGAGGCGAACCGAACAGGTTTTGTTTTTTAGCTCAAATCGTTCGCCGAACAGTGTTCGATGTTCGCCCGAACACGTTCGTGTTCGGGCCGCTGCTGAAATTTGCCCGCGACGAACACGAACAGTGTTCGAGGTTCGCCCGAACACGCCTCCACAGGCGAACAGCGAACACCTGTTTTTTCCTAAACTGTTCGCCGAACCGAACACTGTTCGGTTCGGCAAAAGAGGGTGTTCGACAAGGGGCGAAGACGAACATGTTCGTGTTCGCCCTTTGCTCATCCCTAGTAGTAACTCTGGGTGCGAAAGGATGGTGTGATAGGTGAGGGTAGAAGCGAGAAGATGAAAAGCGGCGAGTCGGCGACTCTAGACCGGCTAAGCCTAGACTCTCTCTGTAAGGACTGAAATGGAAGAGAAGGAAGAGAGAGCGTTGAGCAACGGAAGAGGTGTCTTACAGAGCGACCAATCCTGTGAGCGCGTCAATCCCAGCAGCAGATATGGTGGGAGAGAACTTCTTGGTGGCTAACATCCTCCTGAAATAGAATGGCCAAGGCGAGAGCAAGTCCAAAGGCTAAGGAATTGCAGCGCATATTGAAACCACAGAAGAAGAGGTGGTCAGAGCAAGGAAGAAGAAAGGACGAGGCATTTGGGGAGCTCAAGAGAAATGGAACAATGGGAGAAGTTTCCTTGGGCTGAGTCTAGTATGAGCACGGTTCGGTTAGGGACAGAGCCAGCTTGCGATGAGGTTTGGGGAGTCCGGCTTTTTGCAAGCCAAATCTGTAGCTGCCATGGTTCTTCATGTACCACTGGCATCTGAAAAATGACTATGACACATGCTGTTGCTCGTGGCGCAGCTAAGACCACCCACAGATCCTAGAAGGGCTGTAGGTTCTGTTTTTGGGGTTATGGGTATGATGATCGAAGGACTTTAGGGTTTCTATTCCAGTCAGTTACCAGGATAATGTTTCTAACTCATCCTGTGCAAATTCACAATTGCGATGCGAGCATTAAGCTGGAAAAAAGCGATCTTCATAGGGTGCTCTGCTCTCTGTGTTACAAATTCACTTGTTTTATCCAGGTGGTTCATTTTGCACATGCAATGCAGCTGATATGTTTGTCCGAATAACCTTTGCGCGCTAATATGTGTATGTGTGTATCTCACTCACATGACAGGGGCATTGCCGGGTGCACTCGAGGTGACAGGAATGCTGCCTGTAAACTGGTTGCTTGTAAGGTCTCTGCAAGTGATCATGAGAAGGAGCACCAGATTGAAGGCGTAAGAAACAGGTGAGAAAGAGAGACACAACTGGCTCTCATAAGACAGTGAAGACACGGTGCTGGAGAAAAGGCCAGTAGGCATATGATGGCGAACCAGCACAATATGAAGAAACTTGGAGAGAGCAGAAGAATAAATGCACCCATCCAGGGGACACAACACAGCACAGCAAAGCAAGCCACTACTGAACTAAAGGGAGTCAGCATGTGGATCAGGCGCACAGAAGATCAGAACAGAGTGGATTGGTGCCAGAAGATCAGAACAGAGTGGATTGGTGCCAGAAGATCAGAACAGAGTGGATTGGTGCCAGAAGATCAGAACAGAGTGGATTGGTGCCAGAAGATCAGAACAGAGTGGACTGGTGCCAGAAGAAGAATGCATAAGTGGGAAAGTAGCCCATGCTCAGGCCCGAAATATGCATGAGTGAGGGACGGAGAATGAAGAGGAGAAAAATCGGTTGTGGATGGAAAAAGAAGAGTAGGGGAAGGCAAGGGAAAGGTTGCAAGGAGTTGTGGCGGAGGAAGGTGACTGACACTCTGGTGAGAGCGGTCATGGACCCAATCTCATTGGGGATGGGACCAGACAGTTGGTTGGAGCTCAGATCGCTGGGGGAACACCAGGGGCAATAGGGGGTGGAGGGGAGGTTAGAAGGCAGAGAATGTGGGAGGGAGGTAGTATTGAAGTTTAAAATGCCTGCGAAATGGCTGAGTACGAGTTATCTGTTCACGATAAACATGGATCTGGGTATGGTAATGTGGTGCCTGGAGTCTTGGCAGCAATCGAGAGGCACACCAGCCACAGGTAGTGGCTGGCAGCACGGCACCCACAGTGTATCGAGATTGACCAGCAAGGCAATGGAGGGAGGGATGGAGCCCGAAAGATTGTTGTAATGTAGGCCCCTGCAGCAGCATGGGAGTGCAGCAAAACGATGACAAGAATAAGTTGCATGGTATAGGGAAAATCAGTTTCTACTGGTTCCTGACATGAGCAAGTGCCAGAGGCAAGGCAAGGATTACACAGAGAGGATTTGAGAACAGGGGCTTTCCTGAACAGGTTGCCTGGATACTCAACCAAAAGCTCGCCTTGTTGTGTTCCCCAAGGCGAGTCTCATTTGACTAAAAGCAAGGAACGTTCGCCTCGCCTCCCACCTCCTCTATCCCTACCCCCCTCAATCCCTTCCCCCCCCCCCCCCCCCCTTCCCTCCCCTCATCTGCCACCCCAACCACGCAGCCATCCAATCCATTGCAAGCATTTTCACTTACCTGTGGGGCTCAAGTAGATGTCAAGCACTCAAATGCTCGAGTGGAGTAAAAAAAAAAATCATCTCAAAATATCCCCACCCCCTGTCCCCCCGTCCCCTCCACCCTCCCTTACTCACTCCACTTTCCCGTCCTTCCCTCTCTCGATACTCTAGCTGATTGAGTTGAAAGGTTGAGACAAAACATTAGTCGCCTGAAGTGCTCATGTCGAGGGGCATAGGGAACATGTTTATTATTGGGGTTTCCGATCCAGTGGTACAAAGAATACTGGGGAAGTGTGGCATACAGTTCTGTAAGGCCAGTGAGAGAGCCGATGGAGGCAGGGATGGGTCCAGTCAGCTGGTTGTATTCGAGGGATCTGGTGGTTGGGGGTTCATCCGAATGGGCATTAGGAAGCACACACGTTTATTTCTCTGGGTGCCACCGAAAGGTGAGATAAGTGAGAGGAGAAGTGAGGAGAGCAGAGGAGAAATGGCAAAACTAGAAGAGCTGAGTTGCCACTTACAGGAAACGGACTGGTGGGGAGGGGGGGGAGAAGAAAAGGATTTGAGGAGAGAGAGAGCATTGGGTGAGGGAAGAGATGTCTTACAGAGCGACCATTCTTTTGAGTGAGCCAATGTCAGTAGGTATGGGGCCTGTGAGCTCATTGTTGGCTAACATCCTGAATAATAACGGCAAAGGCAAAAGAAATCACAAAGGCTGAAGGTGTGCAATGCAGATTAAGAGTGGCAGAAGATGAGGTGGTTTGAGAAAGGTAGAAGACGAGGCATTTATAAGGCGAGGCATTTATAAGGCGAGGCACTTATAAGGCGAGGCATTTAGAATGCGAGGCATTTAGAATGCGAGGCATTTAGAATGTGAGGCATTTAGAATGCGAGGCATTTAGAATGCGAGGCATTCAGAATGCGAGGCATTTAGGAACGAGGAGAGGCAAGAGGATCGGGAAATGGGCTGATGCTAGGCAATGGTTTGGACGAGGTTCAATATTCGTGAAGGCCTAAGTGGACACTGCTTTTCCCAATCCGGTATTGAGATTGCCCTGGTTTGTAATTTGCCACAGACCACTAGGAAGCTGAACTCAACACAGGCACCACATGCATCTCTCAACCAGTTCACACATTATGACGAGCAGATAAGATATTTCTGTACTGCTTCATGTTGAGAATTCACTTGTAATGTGTATGTGCTTCAGTTGGTATATGAATACAAGTGAAGCACTGGGTGTGTATCAAATCAACGTGCCACTACTATGCCACTTGTGCTCGTGCATCTCACTCACATGTAAGACACCTGGATGAGTGCACTCAAACTAGGGATGCTGCCTGAAAGCTGGTTGTTTGAGAGGTCCCTGCAAGGGAACGTGGATGGAAGAGACATAGGCACAAGAGCAAATCAGAAGGAAAGGAGATGCAAGAAAAGGAACTGGCATTTAAGCTGAAGGGAGTCAGAGCGAGCAGCCCCACTGAAGAGCAGTGGAAGAGAGGAGCAAAACTGAAAGAACTGGTGCCCTTGTGTGAGATCCCAAACAGGCCTTTCAAGCAGCAGCAGCAGTTGATTTTGATATCTGCATGGTTCCACAATCAAAGCTCATCTATAAAGGGGTTGTGTGCAGCTCACAGGAATTCCATTTGAATGAGTTCATCGAAGGTTGCAGGGATGTTGCCGGAAAGCTGGTTGTTCGAAATGTCACTGGGAGGAAGTCGTGCAGGGCAGAGGAAGAACGGAAATCAGGCAAGCACGAGCGAGTGAGGATCGGAAAACGAATGCGAGGAGAATAGGGTAACGCGCATCAATGAGGAAAGTTGGACGGAACGGGCAACGAGGCACGATGGAGGGGAGTGACTGACAGTTTGGTGAGGGCGACCATGGAACCAATCTCCTTGGGGATGGGACCAGACAGTTGGTTGGAGCTCAGGTCGCTGGGGAAACAGCAGAGACAGTCGATTGGATCATGGAAAGCAGAGAGTAAGAAAGTAACAGTGAGATTCAAAACGTTTAAAAAATTGAAAAATGAACCTGTTGACAAGAAACAGAGCACCGGGCTGGCTCGCTGTGGAGGGTGGAATAGCAGCAGTGGTAGAGAGGCACAGCAGCAGAAGTGACGGACTGGCAGTGGCAGCTCGGCACCCACAGTGCATTGATATTTTTCAGCAAGGCAATGGAGGGAGGGATGACGCCAGAGAGTTTGTTGGAACGAAGCCCCCTGCAGCAGCAGGGGAGGGCGGTAAAACAACACCAAGGGCACTAGTGCCAGTAAATGTGATGGGAGAAAATCAGTATTAAGTGGTCCCCAATTAGAATTTCTGATCCATGGGCATCAGGAAAAAACAAAGTGTGGCGTACAGATTTGCAAGGCTGGTGAGGGAGCCGACGGTGTCAGGGATGGGTCCAGAAAGCTTGTTGTAAGAGAGGGACCTGGTGGTTGGGGGTTCATCCGATCGGGCATTGAGAAGCACTGGCGATGGTGAGTTGGAGGCAAAAGGATGGTGAAATAGGCGAGGGGAGAACTAAAAATATGGATACACAAATAAACTGTCACATGTATAGAACTCAGAGTTGGTACACGGTTCAAGCTAAATGCTTCCTGTGCATCAATGGTGCGTCCGGTTCAATAAGGCCTCTACAATCCCAGCTGCATGCACGTAGCTCACATGTAAGTCATCACGCTGAGTGCACCCAAAATGGAAGGGACATTGTCAAGCTGGTTGTTTGAGAGGTCCCTGCAAAAGATCATGGATGGAATGGAATGGACGCATCAGATTGAAGGCATAACAGCAGGTGAGAGGGTTTCAGGGCAAAAAAACACGATGGAAGAGTAGTATTAATGAACAAACAACAAGCAAAAACTAGTGGGTATATATATATATATAGCAAGCAGCGCCAGAACATATGGCTACGCTTTGCCATGAACATGCCGTCTTGCGACCACCCATATTGTCACGGAAGATATCATGCGCGGCGTCAATCAGGATATGCAGCGCCGGGGCATCCCTCAAACCTATACAAGGGCCGGGGCCGGGGAACACACCCTGCCCTATCCCCATCCTGCCCACCAGATTAGTGCCCAACTTAACGCGCAGCGTGCCTATGTCCGTTCCATAGATGAAACCGTACCACGTGCATTGTCGGGCTATCGTCCGCAAATCAATGTGACGGCTATTGCTAGAATAAATTCCCCAAACTCGAACATTCCCTTGCCTTTGGTTAGGGTATCACCAGCACTTAGAATCCAAATCCCGCTTGACAACAAACTTCTTTCGCGGCCAACCTTCCATGGCTCCAAACTGCCTTCACGTTGACACAGGTTCGCACAATCATTTCTCGCCTGTGACAGGATGGTGTTTGCAGTGCAGCTCACAGGAATTCCATTTTGATGAGCGCTCCAAAGGCTGCAGGGATGTTGCCCGAAAGCTGGTTGTCCGAAAGATCGCTGGGAGAGGCGTGCAGGGCAGAGGAAGCACGGAAGGAAAGGAAGTGAGGCTTGGGAGATGCATGGGACAAGAATCGGGTGTGCATGAACGAGGAAAGGAAGGCAGGGATGGCAAGAGAAAGGATGCGACCAGGTGTGGTGGAGGGAAGTCACTGACAGTTTGGTGAGGGCGACCATGGAACCAATCTCCTTGGGGATGGGACCAGACAGTTGGTTGGAGCTCAGGTCGCTGGGGGGACAACAGAGACAGTAGATTGGATCATGGACAGCAGAGAGTAAGAGAGTAACAGTGACACTGAAAATGATTCAAAAATGAGAGTTGAAGCTCGTGAGATTGAACAGAGCATCGGGCTGGCTGGGTGTGGAAGGTGGAATAGCAGCAGTGGTAGGGAGGCACAGCAGCAGCAGTGACACACTGGCAGAGGCAGCGCAGCACCCACAGGTCATTGATATATTGCAGCGAGGCAATGGAAGGAGGGATGGCGCCTGAGAGTTTGTTGGAACGAAGCCCCCTGCAGCAGCATGGGAGGGCGGCAAAACAACACCAAGGGGAGTAGTGAGAGTAAATGGGATGGGAAGGGGGTAAGTGGTCCCCAATTAGAATTTCCGATTGATGCACATCAGGAACACGAATACAAGCTGAATGGTAGGTGCGATTCAATGGTGCGTCCGGTTTGATAATGCAGCTAAGATTCCAGCTCCATGTATGTAGCTCACAAGTAAGTCATCACGCTGAGTGCACCCAAAATGGAAGGGACATCTTCAAGCTGGTTATTTGAGAGGTCCCTGCAAAATATCATGGGTGGAATGGAAGAATCAAATTGAAGGCAGAAGAGCAGGAGAGAAGGAGAAACAGGTGAAGGGGATAAATGAGGGCAACGCACGATGAAAGTCTACAAGCAACAAATAAACAACAAGGAGCGAAGGAGCAAAGGGGTGTTGAAAATAATGAATGCATCTTTTGATTGATTTTATGCATGTGTACTGGGTGGGTGTTGTAGTTGGTTAGAGCTCACTCTATCATCATTCCTGGTGGCCTAGTAAAATATGTAGCCACCAATAGACCCTGCTTTTGTTCGGGTTCATTTTATTGTTCATATCCTACAATCCTATACCGATTTCGCCCCACGGAATCGCCTGCACTTTGAATCTTAATCCCACTTGACAAAGACTTTTTTTTTTGTCACCAAGCCAACCTTCCATGGCTCCTACCTGCCACTTTGACACAGGTTCGCACAATCAATTTCTGGCTGTGTTGTGTGCAGCTCACAGGAATTCCATTTGCATTAGTTCTTCAAATGTTGTTGGAATGTTGCCTGAAAGCTGGTTGTCCGAAAGGTCACTGGAAAAATAGCGTGTAGGGCAGAGGAAGGACGGAAGGAGGAGACGTGGGGCGAGCATGTGTGAATGAGACTCAGAGGACGCATGGGACAAGAACTGGTGTGCATGAACGAGGAAAGGAAGGCAGGGATGGGAAGGGAAAGGATGCAACGGGGTGTGGTGGAGGGGAGTGACTGACAGTTTGGTCAGGGCGACCATGGAACCAATCTCCTTGGGGATGGGACCAGACAGTTGGTTGGAGCTCAGGTCGCTGGGGGAACACCAGGGACAGTGGATTGGATGAATGGACAGCACAGAATTAGGAAGCAGCGGTGAAAAAAAAAAGAGAGAGTCTCGCTGGCTGACTGTGGGGGGTGGAGCAGCAGCAGTGGTAGGGACGCACAGCGGCAGCAGTGACAGACTGGCAGTGGCAGAATATCACCCACAGCTCATTGATATTTTGCAGCAAGGCAATGGAGGGAGGGATGGCGCCCGAGAGTTTGTTGGAATGAAGGCCCCTGCAGCAGCATGGGAGGGCGGGAAAACAACGCCAAGGGGAGTAGTGCCAGTAAATGGGATGGGAGAGAATCCGTGTTGAAGCTCAAGTTGTTCAGCCTTGCTAAGACTGACGGTTGAGAGGGAGGGCTGCGTGGTTTTGCCCAGCTTCTTGCTGTCTCAGCAATCAGATCTGTATCTTGAAGTTTCCCACTACTCTTGCGTTCGACAATCACAGCAACCCTTGTGCTGGCCAATCAAACGCCTTCGTCCATTGAGTAACCACAATTCACCAAAAATATCACTCGCAAAACAACAACTCGTCAAGAACAAAAAAAGTTCACCCGAGCAATCCGCAATTAGGTCCGTGGGCTTTCAGTGATCCCCAGTTAGAATTTGTCACCCATGGGCATCAGCAGAAAGCAAAGTGTGGCGTACAGATTCGTAAGGCTGTTGAGGGAGCTGATGGTGTCAGGGATGGGTCCAGAGAGGTTGTTGTAAGAGAGGGACCTGTTGGTTGGGGGTTCATTTGATCGGGCATTAAGAAGCACAGGCAATGGTGAGTCGGGTTGCTACGGATGGTGAGTTAGGCGAGGGGAGAAGCAAGAATAACGAGAAAAAAAGAAACACTAACTGCAATACTTGTACTGGACTCACATTTGGTACACAAATACAAGCTAAACGTTTGGTGTATATCAATGGTCCGTCAGGTTTAACATTGCTGCTACAATTCCATGTTGTTCACATATGTAGCTCACATGTAAGCCATCACGCTGAGTGAACCAAAAGAGGAAGGGACGCTTTCAAGCTGGTTGTTTGACAGGTCCCTGCAAAAGATCATGGGTGGAATGGAAGCATCAGACTGAAGGCATAACAGCAGGTGCGAAGGAGAAACACGTGAGAGAGAGAGATCAGGGCAAACGCACGATGGAAGACTAGTAGTCATGAAGGAAAAACAAGTAGCGAAGAGAAATAGAATGCAGGCTGTGTTTGATTAGATGTAATGGATGGGTGATATAGTTGGTAAAGCTCACTTCATCAACTGTGATGGGCGGGTCTAATTATTAAAATTGACATCTTTTGACAAAACATTTGTTTGGGTTCATTTTCTTGCGATACTGTGAACATGCCTTAGACTTTGGTTATGGAATCACCTGCAGTTCAAAACTTTACCTCATCTAACAACAAATGTCTTCACTTTGACTAAGCATGGGCATCTGGCCCGACCCGGCCCGACCCGTCCCGTTTAGGCCGACCCGTTAGCATAACGGGCCGGGTCAGGTCGGGTCAGCGGGTCGGGTTTGACTCTGTTTTGGTGACCCGACCCGCCCTGTTGGAACGGGTATTTGTGACCCGTGGCCGGGTCGGGCCAGAACAAAATATGCTACAGAGCAGCAGGGTTAGGTTTGAATACCTACGTTGTAAACTTCATGTCTAGCCTTGATCTAGTCTAGCGACTGGATCAGAATGTCGAGGGAAACAAAACATAAAAAACCAACTGATGTTCAACCCTAATCAGAGAACGGGTCGGGTAACCCTGTCATTTGACTGGGTACGCGACCCAGACGGGACGGGTCAACCCGACCCGGCGGGTCGCTAATACCCGTCCCTAAATCACAGTGACGGGTCACGGGTCGACCCGACCCGTCCGGGTATACCCGACCCGACCCGGGCGGGACGACATTCTCAGCATTCCTGACCCGTCCGGGTAACCCGACCCGTCCGGGCCAAATGCCCATGCCTAACTTTGACACAGTCACACAGGTACGCACAATCAATTCTCGGCTGTGACTGGGTGTTGTGTGCAGCTCACAGGAAGTCCATTTGGATGAGTGCACCCAAGGTTGCAGGGATGTTGCCCGAAAGCTGGTTGTCCGAAAGATCACTGGGAGAAAGGCGTGCAGGGAAGAGGAAGAACGGGAGGAGAGGAGGTGGGGCGAGCACAAGTATGTCAGACTTCGAGAATGCATGGAAGAAGAATCAGGTGTGCATAAAAAAAGGAACGGCAGGCAGGGAAGGGAAGGGAAAGGATGTCACAAGGTGTGGTGTAGGGGAGTCACTGACAGTTTGGTGAGGGCGACCATGGAACCAATCTCCTTGGGGATGGGACCAGACAGTTGGTTGGAGCTCAGGTCGCTGGGGGTTTGGATCATGGACAGCAGAGAGTTGAGAGTTGAAATGATTAAATAATGAAAGATGAAGCTGCTGAGATTAAACAAAGCATTGGGCTGGCTGGGTGTGGAGGGTGGAGTAGCAGCAGTGGTGCACAGCAGCAGCAGTGACAAACTGGCAGTGGCAGCGTGGAACCCACAGTGCGTTGATATTATTCAGCAAGGCAATGGATGGAGGGATGGCGCCCGAGATTTTGTTGGATTGAAGACCCCTGAAGCAGCACGAGAGGGCGGAAAACAATGCCAAGGGGAGTAGTGTCAAGTGATGGGTGTTAAGTGATCCTCAATTGGAATTGTTGACAGATGAGCATCAGGAGAAAGTAACGTGTGGCATACAGATTTGTAAGGCTGGTGAGGGAGCCGATGGTGTCAGGGATGGGTCCAGAGAGCTTGTTGTAAGAGAGGGACCTGGTGGTTGGGGGTTCATTTGATCGGGCATTGGGAAGCACTGGCGATGGTGAGTCAGAAGCAAAAGGATGATCGAATTAGGAGGGGGGGAGGCGAGAAGAATGATATAAATGGAGACTCCAAACGTGGTACATGTACAGAAATCACGCCTGTTACACGAATATAAGCCAAATGCGTGGCGTGTACCAATGCTGCTACAGTTCTATCTGCATGCGTTTAGCTCACATGTAAGACATCACGCTGAGTGCACCCAAACTGGAAGGGACGTCTTCAAGCTGGTTGTTTGAGAGGTCCCTGCAAAAGATCATGGGTTGAATGGAACGGAAGCATGAGATTGGAGGCTTAAGAGCAGGTGAGAAGGAGAAACAAGGCACAGGGAGAAATAAGGGCGAAAAGCACGATGGAAGACTAGTTGTAATAAAGAAACAACAATGAGCGAACAAGGATTGGTAACTGGGAGGAAAAAAAAAAATATATATATATATATATATATATAAAATAAACCGGTGTGCTTAATTTGATGTTGACATGAGCAAAAAATCGAACCCCTATTTGGTTTGACTCGAACCTGTTCAAGTCAAACAATACCTTTTAGAAAAACTGTTCGAGTCGAACGTATCTAATTTGACGTTGGTTAAAGCCTGAACTAGGGGTGAGCAAAATCACGAACGCATGTTCGGTTCGCCTCGAACACGTTTGAGGCAAACCAAACAGGCTTTTTTTTTTGGCCTTCAGTGTTCGGGGCGAACATGTTCGATGTTCGCCCGAACATGTTCGTGTTCGGGGCGCTGCTGCAATTTGCCCCGCGTCGAAAATGAACGTGTTCGAGGTTCGCCCAAACACGCCTTCACAGGCGAACACCGAACACCCTTTTTGGCTAAAAGTGTTCGCCAAACCGAGTTCGTGCAGGGGCGAACACAAACGCGTTCGTGTTCGCCCCTTGCTCACCCCTAGCCTGAACTATCATTTGTCATGGCCCAATTACACTATTTGGACATGCTTGGATCAATATTCTGATTGGGGTCATTTTGTACTTAACACGCCCTAGCCTAGGGATGAGCAAGGGGCGAACACGAACATGTTCGTGTTCGCTTCTACACGAACACATCCGTTTGCCGAACCGAACCGAACAATTTTAGCAAAAACAGGTGTTCGTCGTTCGCCTGTGAAGGAGTGTTCGGGCGAACCTCGAACACGTTCGTGTTCGTCGCGGGGTAAATTGCAGCAGCGGCCCGAACACGAACGTGTTTAAGCAAAAAAATCAAACCTGTTCCGTTCGCCTCGGACGTGTTCGTTTTTTTGCTCAGCCCTACCCTAGCCTTCAGTTGGCGCATCACCGGTACTTTGAATCATAATCCCACTTGACAACAAACTCCACTCAGTGCCAATGTCAACCTTCCATGAATCCTAAATGACTTCACTTTGACACAGGTTCGCACAATCAATTCTCGGCTGTGACAGGGTGTTGTGTGCAGCTCACAGGATTTCCATTTGGATGAGTGCTCCAATAGTTGCAGGGATGTCGCCCGAAAGCTGGTTGTCCGAGAGATTTCTGAGAAAAAGGCGTGCAGGGCAGACAAAGAACGGAAGGAGAGGAAGTGAGGCGAGCACGAGTGAGTGAGACTCCGAGGGTGCATGGGAAAAGAATTGGGTGTGCATAAGGAAAGGCAGGCAAGGATTGCAAGAGGAGCGATGCAATGAGGTGTGGTGGGGCGGGGTGACTGACAGTTTGGTCAGGGCAACCATGGAACCAATCTCCTTGGGGATGGGGCCAGACAGTTGGTTGGAGCTCAGGTCGCTGGGGAAACAGCAGAGACAGTGGATTGGATAATGGACAGCAGAGAGTAAGAAAGTAACTGTGACAACAAAAACAACTCAAAAAAGAAAGTTTAAGCTGTTGAGATTAAACAGAGCCTCGCATCCGGCTGGGTGTGGAGTGTGGAGTAGCAGCAGTGTTAGCGAGGCACAGCAGCAGCAGTGACGGATTGGCAGTGGCAGCGCGGCACCCACAGTGCGTTGATATTTTTCAGCAAGGCAATGGACGGAGGGATGGCGCCCGAGAGCTTGTTGGAATGAAGCCCCCTGCAGCAGCATGGGAGGGCGGCAAAAAAACGCCAAGGGGAATAGTGCCAGTAAACGGGACGGGAAGGCTTGCAGCAACTGCTCCAGTAGACAAACCTAGCTCGACAATAATGACACTGCCAATCAACCACGCAAATTTGTGTGGCGTACAGAGTTGTAAGGCTGGTGAGGGAGCCGATGGTGTCAGGGATGGGTCCAGAGAGCTTGTTGTAAGAGAGGGACCTGGTGGTTGGGGGTTCATCCGATCGGGCATTAGGAAGCACTGGCGATACTGAGTCGGAGGCAAAATGATGGTGAAATAGGCGAGGGGAGAGACGAGAAGAACGATAAAAATGGAGACTCTGATTGAATCTTTCATGTCTGGGACTAACAGTTGGTTCACGAATACAAGCTATATGGTTGGTGAGTATCAATGGTGCGTCTGGTTCAATAAAGCCGACGATACAATTCCAGCTGCATGCATGTAGCTCACATGTAAGACAACATGCTAAGTGCACCCAAAGTGGAAGGGACGTCTTCAAGCTGGTTGTTTGAGAGGTCCCTGCAAAAGATCATGGATGGAATGGAAGCATCAGATTGAAGGCATAACAGCAAGTGAGAAGGACAAACAGGTGAGAGAGAGAAATGTGTAAGAAAAACAATATGCAAGGCTTGTGAAAATGAATAAACAAAGAGCCAGCAACAAATTAAAAGTGCAAAAATAAGAATTCTTTGTGTGTTTGATTTGATCTCTGTGTACTGGGTGGGTGTTGATGTTGGATGCCCATTTACACTAAATTCTCGCTTTATCGTTTGTGATGCCCATTTACACGTTATGGTCATCGTTGCACCCAAATCCCACGTGGGATAAATTCATTGTTCATATTCTAAACGTAATTTGCCCTATCCTTGGGTTGGGGTCTCACCTACACTTTGAATCCCACTTGACAATATTGATTCTTTCCGCCAAGCCAACCTTCCATGGCTCCTAACTGCCTTCACTTCGACACAGCTTTGAACAATCAATTCTCGGCTGTGAGAGGGTGTTGTGTGCAGCTCACAGGAATTTCATTTGGATGAGTGATCCAAATGTTGCAGGGATGTTGCCCGAAAGCTGGTTGTCCGAAAGATCACTGGGTGAAAGGAGTGCAGGGCAGAGGAAAAACGGAGGGAGAGGAAGTGTTTCGAGCACAATTGAGTGAGACTCCAAGAATGCATGGGACACGAATTGGGCGTGCACAAGGGAGGAAAGGCAGGTGGGGATGGCAAGGGAAAGGATGCAACCAGGAGTGGTGGAGGGAAGTCACTGACAGTTTGGAGAGGGCGACCATGGAACCAATCTCCTTGGGGATGGGACCAGACAGTTGGTTGGAGCTCAGGTCGCTGGGGGAACAGCAGAGGCAGTCGATTGGATCAAGGACAGCAGAGACTCAGGAAGTAGCGGAAACTTTCAAAATGATCCAAAAGTGAAAGTTGAAGCAGTTGAGTTTCAGCACAGCATCAGGCTGGCAGAGAGAGGCACATCAGCAGCAATGATGGACTGGTAGTGGCAGTGCGGCACCCACAGTGCATTGATGTTTTTCAGCAATGCAACGGAGGGAGGGATGGCACCCGAGAGTTTGTTGGAACAAAGCCCTCTGCAGCAGCATGAGAGGGCAGCAAAACAATGCCAAGGGGAGTAGCGCAAGAAAATGGGATGGGAGGGAATAATTGTTAAGGGGGCCCTAATGACAGTTTCTAGCCTTGGGAATCAGGAAAAAACAAAGTGTGGCGTACAGATTTGCAAGGCTGGTGAGGGAGCCGATGGTGTCAGGGATGGGTCCAGAGAGCTTGTTGTAAGAGAGGGACCTGGTGGTTGGGGGTTCATACGATCGGGCATTGGGAAGCACAGGCGATGGTGAGTCGGGTTGGAGGCAAAATGATGGTGAAATAGGGTAGGGGAGAAGCGAGAAGAATGATAGGAAAGGAGAATCTAATTGAATGATGCATGTCTGGGACCCACAATTGGTACACGAACACAAGCTAAATACTTGGTGTGTATCAATGGTGCGTCCGGTTCATAATGCCGCCGCCACAAGTCCTGCTGCATGCATGTAGCTCACATGTAAGCCATCACGCTGAGTGCACCCAAAGTGGAAGGGACGTCTTCAAGCTGGTTGTTTGAGAGGTCCCTGCAAAAGATAATGGGTGGAATGGAAGCATCAGATGGAAGGCATAACAGCAGCTGAGAAGGAAAAACAGGTGAGAGGGAGAATTCTGAGATAAAGGTACGATAAAAGACTAGTAGTAATTATCAAACAGGGAGCGATAAAAAATGGGGGATATAAAATGCTTGGGGTGTTTTATTTGATGTCTGTGTACTGGGTTGGAGCTGTGGTTGATCAATTTTTATGGCTATATCACACATTTAGTTTACTGTTTGGGTTCATTTTCTTATTCATATCCTATACTAAACATGACCTAGCCCTAACATCACCTGCACTTTGAATCTTAAACCCTCCTGACAACAAACTCCTTCTGCCGCCAACCTTCCATGGCTCCTAATCGCCTTCACTTTGACACAGGTTCTGGCAATTAAGTCTCGGCTGGGACAGGGTGTTGTAGGGATGAGCAAGGAGCGAACACAAATCGTGTTCGCCCCTGCACGAACACATCCGTTTGCCGAGCAGAACACTGTTCGGTTTGGCAAACACTTAAAGCAAAAACAGGTGTTCGCAGTTCGCCTGTGAAGGCGTGTTCGGGCGAACCTTGAACACGTTCGTGTTCGTCGCGGGGCAAATTGCAGCAGCGGCCCAAACACGCACGTGTTCGGGCGAACCTCGAACACTATTTCGCGAACACTTTAAGCAAAAAAAATAAACACACAGGTGTTCGTTTTTTTGCTCATCCCTAGGGTGTTGAGTACAACTCACAGGAATTTTATTTGAATGAGTGCTCCAAAGGTAGCAGGGATGTTGCCTGATAGCTGGTTGTCTGAAAGATCACTGGGAGAAAGGCGAGCAGGGCAGAAGAAGAACGGAAAGGGAGGAAGTGAGGCGAGCACGAGTGAGTAAAACTCCGATGATGCATGGGACAAGAATCGGATGGCATAAACGAGGAAAGGCCGGCAGGGATGGCAAGGGGAAGGATGCAACGAGGCGAGATGGGGGGGAGAGACTGACAGTTTGGTGAGGGCGACCATGGAACCAATCTCCTTGGGGATGGGACCAGACAGTTGGTTGGAGCTCAGGTCGCTGGGGGAACAACAGAGACAGTAGATTGAATTTTGGACAGCAGAGAGTAAGAAAGTAACAGCAAAATTCAAAATGATTCAAAAATGAAAGTTGAAGCTGGTGAGATTGACCAGAGCATCGGGCTGGCTGGATATGGAAGGTGGAATAGCAGCAGTGGTAGAGAGACGCACAGCAGCAGCAGTGACGGACTGGCAGTGGCAGTGTGGCACCCACAGTGCATTGATATTTTCCAGCAAGGCAATGGAGGGAGGGATGGCGCCAGAGAGTTTGTTGGAACGAAGCCCCCTGCAGCAGCACGGGAGGGCGGGAAAACAACGCCAAGGGTAGTAGTGACAGCAGATGTGATTGGAGAGAATCAGTATTAAGTGGTCCGCAACTAGAATTTCTGATCCATGGGCATCAGGAAAAAACAAAGTGTGCCGTACAAATTTGCAAGGCTGGTAAGGGAGCCGATGGTGTCAGGGATGGGTCCAGAGAGCTCGTTGTAAGAGAGGGACCTGGTGGTTGGGGGTTCAATTGATCGGGCATTGGGGAGCACAGGCGATGGTGAGTCGGAGGCAAAAGGATGGTGCCATAGGCGAGGGGAAAAGAGAGAAGAACAAAAAAAATGGAGAATCAAATCGAGTGTCACATGTATGGAAGTCACAGCTGTTACATAATTCAAGCTAAATGCTTTGTGTGTATCAATGGTGCCTCCGGTTCAATAATGCCACTACATTTCCAGCTGCATGCATGCAGCTCACAAGTAAGTCATCATGCTGAGTGCACCCAAAATGGAAGGGACGTCTTCAAGCTGGTTGTTTGAGAGGTCCCTGCAAAAGATAATGGGTGGAATGGAATGGACGCATCAGATTGAAGCCATAACAGAAGGTGAGAAGGAGAAACAGGTATCAGGGCAAAAAAGCACGATGGCAGAGTAGTACAAAGAACAAAAAGCAAACATCGGTGGGAAGTGGGATATATATAAACATATTACATATATACACATATGTATTCTGTGTGTGTTTGATTGGATGTGTGCTTACTGGGTGGGTTTTAACGCTCGCTTTATAGCTATCTTGATTTATATCCTATACTGAAAATTCCCTTGCCTTTGGTTAGGGTACCACCAGCGCTTTGAATCCAAATCCCGCTTGACAACAATCTTCTTTTGCGGCCAAACTTCCATGGCTCCAAACTGCCTTCACTTTGACACAGGTCGCACAATTAATTCTCGCCTGTGACAGGATGGTGTGTGCAGTGCAGCTCACAGGAATTC